TCAATAAATATGACATAACATATAATATCAATAAATATAATATGCGCATTGTATAGTCACATTTTTAGAAAGATAAATCATCAACATTATATAAGCTTATAAATTCAACACATAATAAATATGAACATAAATAGAATATAAATATTAATAAATACACTAATATATCAATATCTAGGTGAATAATGTGAATTGATACACATTAAAGTAATAAATACATGTATAAATAAATTAATAAAGAGAAAAATGTGGATAAAATATAAATAATAAATGAAATAATAAATAAAATAACACCAGTAACATGAGAAAATAAATAATAAGTAAAGTCCGATGAAACATGTACATTAACAACAATAATATAAAATGTTAACATCTACAATGGCCCACTTTCTGACTACATCCCATTTTCGGGGATGAAGGGCTCTCTGCAAAAGGCCATGGTCCTGACAACCCATGGCAGGGGATGCACGACAAGCCATGGCAGGGATGGACAGGGACCTGGTTACCCGAGGTCAACCGAGGCTCCTTCGTTGCTGCCCTATGGTTCTGCCAGGGCTGGGTGGGGTTGTGACGTAAAGGTGTTTAGTCATAATGCCACAGATGTAGCTTCGCCCCATTGGCTCCTCAGCCAAGCACATACAACCAAATGTCTGATCCTGTGGTTCCTCTCCTACTGACCAGGATTACCACGGCAACAACACATCATCAGTAGGGTAAAACTAACCTGTCTCATGACAGTGTAAACCCAACTCCAGTTCCTTAATAGTGGGTGAACTATCCAATGCTTAGTGAATTCTGCTTCACAATGATAGGAAGAGCTGACAGTGAGGGATCAAAAAGCGATGTCGCTAAGGAACACTTGGCCGCCACAAGCCAGTTATCCCTGTGGTAACTTTTTGGACACCAGTTGCTTAAACCCAAAGGTCAGAGGAATCATGAGCCCCCGCCCCTTCACAGTCTGTATTCATACTGAAAATCAAGATCAAGTGAGCTTTTGCCCTTCTGCTCCATGGGACGTTTCTGTCCTCCCTGAGCTCACCTTAAGACACCTGCATTACTGTTTGATAGGTGGATCGCCCCAGTCAAACTCCCCACCTAGCACTGTCCGGAGAGCAGGTCTCGCCCAGCCCAGCTTGGCAGGAGAAGCGAGACCGCTCACATCCTGGGTCAGAAACTGGGAACGCTGGGGTGAGGGCAAGTCGGTGGGAGGCGGGAACAAGGCCTGCAAGCCCAGCGAGAAGGTGGAGGTGCTCCTCAAATGCGGTGGCAGGCAGGGAAGGTGGGGAGGCACCAGTCACCTACGAGAAGAAAAGGACAACAACAGGTTTAAGGTTAGAGGTAGGGTTAGGGCTAGGATTATGTTTACTGTTAGGTTTAGGTTAATGGTCAGGATTACGGTTATGTTTAGAACTAGGGCTAGAGTTAGTTTTAGGTTAATGGCTAGGTCTAGTGCTTTAGGTCAAAGGTCAATATTAGGGTTAAGGTTAGGGTTAGGTCTAGGGTTAGTTGGTTTTAGGGTTAGGGTTAGGTTGAGGGCTAGGGATACAGTTAATATTAGTGTTAGGGTTAGGATTAGAGGAAGAGTTATATTTAGGGCTATTTTTAGTTTTAGTTATAGTGCTACTTTTAGGGTTAAGGTTATGTCTAGGGTTTTGTTTAGGTTTAGATTTAAGGTTAGGTTTAGGGCTAGGTTTAGTTTCAGGTGTTGTGGTACTTTTAGGGTGAGGTTAGTGTTAGTATTAGGGTTAGGTTTAGGGTTGGGTTTAGGTTTAGGTTTAGGGTTAGGGTTAGCATTGAGGATAGGGTTAGTGGCAAGGTTAGGTTTAATTTTGGGGCTAGGACCAGGGACAGGGTTAGGTTCAGGTCCTTGACCTTGTCTGGCAAAGATTGGTAACTAGTATTTGTTATGCTAGCAATCCATTACTTGGGAGGCTGAGGAAGGAGGACCGTGCCTGGGAGTTCAGCCTGGGCCATACAGCAGATGGGCAGGATAGAGGAAAGGGAGAGAGAGGCCTCACCCTCTGTGAAAAGAGAAGAATGCATTTTTTTAAAGTTTGTGATCATGAACAAGGTTGGATGTGCTTGTACATTAATGTGGCTAGGCTAAGGCAGGAGGCTGTAGCTTCTAATACTGACATATTCCTGGCTGAGGGATGGGGATGAATCACTCCAGAGAATGGTCCTAACTTCCCTTCCCCTCTGAGTAGGACCCAGTGTCGTGTTCTTCTTCAAGTGGTATTTTGAGTGCCTCTGAATCTTCTCTGACCTATAACACTTAAAGAGGTTTCCCATGACGGCACTTCATATGTTTATTTAATATCAGGCACCAGAACTCCTTGGACTTAGTTGTTTGTCTCCTGATGTTGGACCTTCCTAGATCTTACCTTTTTTAAGGTGGAAGACACTTTTAAGAGGTGATGGTGGCAGGGTAAGTCTGACCAGCTGGACTTTTAAACAAAATCTCAAGGACAGTGGTCCAGGGTGTCTGCCCACTGCTGGAAGAAATGCAGTGGGTTGTGGCAGGTGAAAGGGAGGGTGGTGGGACATGCTGTGAGAGGTTGGCTGGGCTAGATCTTACAGGTCTTGTCAACCATGTATAGTTTGGGCATAATTATCAGTATAGGAAAATAGTTTCTTTTTTATTTCTTTTTTTATTAGTGTCAAGGACACTGAGTGCAAGGTCACAGGCAGAGGCAGAGGCAGTATTGTCAAACATATTGGAGTCAATATGCCTTTCACAAATACTTAAATTTATTAACAATAATTCAAATCACACATTACAAATTCAGACACACCAAATCAGGAGAATATTGTGGGAGTTTTCAGGTGTGTGCACAAACAGAGGTCATCCTGAAGATCCCCAAAATGCTAGGAGTGGATCAGGGGAAAGCATGTGGAGGGAGGTTCAGGAGTCTTGGTGGTTTTTGAGAGCAGTGGACGGGTGAGTCTGGTGTCAAAGCCAGAGCTGCACAGTGGCTTCAATAACTTCTTTACACACTGATGGGATGAAATTGAGACCTTTTGTTCTGGGTGGAGGCCAGGGAGCCAGGGGGGGGTGCAGCAGTGAGTTCCAGAAAGCAATCTGCTAGTCATTCTTAGTGATGTCTTTATCTGTGTGCCATAGCTTAGGGTTCACTCATTAACATAATGATGTAAGCAAATGCTTCAAAACAATCCTTATCTTTAGCCAACTTGGGGTTCACTCATTAACATAAGAAACAAATAGACATTTCAAAACAACTTTATCTGAGTCACCCTTGGGTTAGCAACAGGTGTGGTCTACACTGCATGTTCTTAAGAAATTGTGAATCAAAACATCCAGACAGTACTGCTGTGCCACTACACAAATGGAAGTAGTCCAAACTGACATTGTCTCACACTGTTGGGAGCAACAGGAACTCTACTCACTGCTGGTGAGAATGTGAGACGGAATATTTGCTTCCAAAGATAGGTCTGTGGTTTCTTTTAACACTAAACAGATTCTTACCATGCGAACTAGTCAAACCCCTCCTTGCTATTTAATGGGAAATGTGTCCATTCAGAAACCATCCCAGCTGTGATCACAATAACTTGTTTATCACTACCCAGGCTCACAACCCAAAGTTCTTCAGAGAACACACTGGTGTGCCTGTACAATGAAAATGTCATAAGAGATTTTTAAAAAGAAAGAAGAAAGAAAAGTAAAGAGAAGGAGTTAGCATGCCAAAAATGACACAGAGGGACCTGAAAGGCTCTTGACCAATTGAAACAAGCCAGGTTTCAAAGATCAGGCATTACATTTCAGAGAACACACTGGTGTGCCTGTACAATGAAAATGTCATAAGAGATTTTTAAAAAGAAAGAAGAAAGAAAAGTAAAGAGAAGGAGTTAGCATGCCAAAAATGACACAGAGGGACCTGAAAGGCTCTTGACCAATTGAAACAAGCCAGGTTTCAAAGATCAGGCATTACATGATTCCAACTAAAAAAAAAAAAAAAAAATATGGAGAAAATCAAAACAGCAGGGGTTGCAGAGAGTCAAGAGTGAAAGGGTAGCCAGGTGGAGAGCAGGTGGTTTGAGGAAGTGTCCTCTGTGTGATGCTGTGATACTGCATGCATTTTTTCCACATAATTTTGAAGAAAAGAATGCCCAGTGCTGACCATGAGCCCTGATGTAAACTGCACACTTCAGGTGATAATCACATGTCAGCCTAAACTCCTCAGTTGTAAAAAGTGTTCTGCTCTGATGTGTGATGCTAGGGGAGTTGGTATAGGAATCTCCACTTACCCCTCAATTTTCTATGAAACTAAATTATTATATACATAGGCCCCTCCCACACACCCATAAGCATATTTTTTTAAATGAATCTCTAAAATGAAAAGGTTCATGACTGGCTATGGCTGCCAAAGTACCATATATATAGTATATGAGTAAATAGTGGTAAGTTAAGAAATGCTCAGAACTCGTGTGGGTGATCTGTGAAGGCCAGCCCCTCACCCTGACCTCTTGGTGCACAGATCCCTTACAACCAACCCCTGTCATCCCCTGGCTATCTCTAGTAATTTGGCCCACCACCTTCCCCCTTCTTTCAGCCCTTCCTTTCATGAATTGCACAAACCACCTCTTAGTTCCTTCTTCCAGATCTTTATTCCCCAACCTAACAAGATACGGATTTTTTGAACTCTCTCCTGATAGGACCACATGTCTGAGTGAAGGTTCCTCTTTGTATTCCATCTCACATGGAAAATCCCACAAACAAAACCACCCAGCAAGGGACTGGAGGTGGCTCAGCAGTTAAGAAAACTCCAGTTCCTGGGTATCTGACTCCTTCTTCTGGCCTCCATGAGGCATGTCATGCACTTACATACATGCAGACAAAACATTAGTACACATAAAATAAAAATAATAAGTGAAATATGTTTTTAAAAATCATCGAGCAAGATCACCCAGAGCCCACCTAGCCAGGACTCCCACATTGTCCAGGGTCACCTCTCCATCCAAAATCTCCTACTCCTAAAACTTAAAAGCAAACTAGCTTTAGACACAATCAGGAAGCATTTTCCTCAGTGTCAATGCAATCTTCTCCAACACTCATTGAGAGAAACCTGTGAAGTTCTGAAACAATCTATCGCTGTGGATAGAATCACTGACTGCTTCTTCCCAGTCAACCCAATGTAGGGGCTCAGGAAACCCAGTGGGACTCTATTTATTTCAAGAACAGAATCCTAGGGTCAAAATGAGTACTGTATTTGAATAACACAGAGTAAATCCTTACAGCATCTTGCACAACACAGCTCCATGGGCAGTGTCAGTCTGTTTAGATGTATGCAGATAAGCTCAGTTTAATAATGAAATGTATGATATTCTTCCATTCTGCACAGAACTGGAGATGTGAAGGACAATGTGGAAGCCATTCTACTTAGCATCCTGGCTTCCCTCCTGGGCTTTCTGAGGCTGAATTGCAGCTTCTGCAGAGACCTATGGGTCTTGTTCTTCTGCCTGGTCATGGCCACCTGCCTGTATTCCCTTCTCAAGGTAAGAGCCTATCCCTTTCTTATCACCTGTGGTATGCTCTCCATAGAGTAGTCTTGAAATCCTGAGGTGATCCAGGTCCTCTGGCTTCTGTTTTAGAGTGTCCAGCCTGCCCGTCTCAACAATACATTACATGCATTACATGTCCAAATGCAGCCCAGTAGCTTGTCTCGTCCATTTGCCTTGAAAATGAGAGATGCCAGAGTCTATGCAAGACCAAGTCTGTATCTCTGTGTGTCTCTTGACGATGGGAGAAGAAGCATCAGATGGACACATGCGTGCATGGCACCAGGCTTTGGCTGGATCTGAGAGCGTGGTGTGGTAGCAGTGGGGGTATGCTCGGGGATGAGACAGAGCCTGTGTGACAGGTCACTTCTATTCCACGAGGCTCTTGTCAGGAAAGATTCAACAGTCTCATGGGATGGTTGGCCAACTCTGCTGTGAGACTGCCAGCCTTTCTTTCCTGCTCACCCACTTGATTGTTTGATGCTGAGCATGATACCAGTCTTCTTTATGCCTCAGTTTCCATGTGTATAAACAAAGCTTATAAAACATATCTGGGGTCTGAATAATGCATGCAGAGTGCTTAGAACACTGGCCATCACCTAGCATTGCTCCACGGATGTTAGCTCAGTAATATCATTTACATAAGACTGAATCATGCTTATTTTTAAAATTGGTTACATATATTTTGTGATAAATTATGTTAATTTTGTCATATATACATTGTGAGATGATTAAATAGAGTTAATTAATATATTTTTTCTTTCTGATGAGAATATTTACAATTTATTCTCATTGTTTTTCAAGTATATAAGGCATTATTATTGACTACAGCGACTGTACTATGCATAGTATATTATGTAATAGATCTGCAAAGCTCACTGAGCCTCTGTGCCTGACACTGTATTTTCTACCCACATCTCCCCATCCTTCTCTTCCCTGACCCCCACTACTCTGCTGTTTGTATCTGTGAGTTGAACTTCATTAATTCCTTACATAGCTAGGTCATGTGTGTGTGTGTGTGTGTGTGTCTGTATCTGTGTGTCTCTGCAGATGCCCTCTGTGTGTGTGTGTGTGTGTGTGTGTGTGTGTGTGTTTGTTTGTTTGTTTTTGTCTTTGTATGCCTGGCTTATTCTCTTAGTGTAATGTTCTCCAGGTTCATCCATGTTTACAAATGAAAGGATGGCCATCTTTTAAAAGACAGGCTAGTATTCCATGTGTGTGCATGTATGTACATACCACATTGTTTAAAACTATTTATTTATGAACACATACTTTGGTATGTGCCTGTAGTCGTTATTTTTTGTTGCTGTAATCAAACACCATGACCAAAAGCAAGTTAAGGAAGAGTTTATTTGGCTTGCAGTTCCAAAGGGGTGGAGTCTATCATGCAGCAGAATCAGGAAACTGACTGGTCCTATTTCATTTGCACACAGAAAACAGAGAGAGAACAGGAAGGAGGATGAGATTATAAGTCCTCAAAGTCCACTCCCAGTGATGTACTTCCTCTAGCAAGGGTCCACCTCCCAAAGGTTCCATAACCTTCCCAAATAGCTCCATGTACTGGAACCAAGTATTCAAATGCATGAGCCTTTGGGGGATATTCATCATTCCAGGCACCATGTGCCGTGTCCTGGCTGTTGTTAATAGTGCTAGTGAGCACAGGTATGAAGTTGTCTTTCACATTCTGTTTTGTGTTTTGGGAGGTAGACCTAGAAAGGGATTGAGGGATCTTATGGTAGTTCTGTTTGTAGTTTTTTAAAGGACTTTTTATTTAT